TTCAGCTTATACCCGTTACCCCTTGTCCTCTCACTACACTCCCTGATAAAGAGTGCCTCCCCATCTCTCCTGTAGGCCCCCTTCAGGTTCTGGTAGGCTGCTGTTAGGTCTCCTCAGAGCCTTCTTTTCTCCAGGCTGAACAACCCCAATTCTCTCAGCCTGTCCTCATAGGGAATGTGCCCTGTGATCATCTTTCTGGCTGTCCTCTGGACTTGCTCCAACAGGTCCATGTCTTTTTTTTTTTCAACATGTAAGGCCAACATTGGAAAGGCCAAGGTTCAGAAAAGAATGTAACAGAGAAGGAAATCATATTCCTTAAGAACTCCATTAGTATGAAGCAGAATAAAAACTTACTGTGTTAGGCAGCTATCGAGGAAGATTATTGGATGGATGATCCTGTGAAGGACTGTGTTTTAAACCTCTTCTTTTGGTCTTAACTTAAAAAAATAGTTTCATTGAGCTGTGTTAACAAATGACTAAGTATTTGGTTTAGAAAAACAGGTTAGATGTAAGTATTTATCTAAGTTAGGCATTTTTGAATGGTCTAGACCTAATAAGGTTATATTTCAATACCCGATGAAATGACTGAAGCAATGTGAGACGTTGATGGTCATCTTTGAGAAGTGAAGTGTGGTTGAGGGTTCCAGACACTATGAGAGACCAAACAGTTGTTTCAACAAGGTCCGTGTTGCTGCTATTTTCTTTTGGCTGGATCTAAATAACTTTTCATTCAGTGTCTTGATTAGACCCCCCGGAATGGTCCTTTGAATACTTAATTCTCTGTTGACTTGCCACACCTACTTTTTAGGTAATGTCTCAAGCATATCTTGCTTAGCACAACTTGTTGTTTGAAAAGCTAATGTCTCTTGCTGGAGCAGCTATATTAGTAGAATGATATACACAGATAATTGACACAAGTTTGTGACCACACAAGCACTTTTAACCTACTTTTTTTACGGCTACAGCTATTATTCTAGCAAAAGACTACTTCTTTTATGTAGTTTCCCTTGTCTAGGTATAGCAGGTACAAGGATATAGCAGATGCAATCCCCACCTTACAATTAGTAGTTTGAATTGACTGAGGAATGAAGGATAACTAGTAGTTTCTGTTGCCCTTCATGACCTATTTTACAATAGGTGTCAATAGAGGAGGTATTTGGCGGAAGCTCAGATCCTCAAAGACTTACAGCTCCTGTCCAGAAGGTATGCTTAAACAGGAGTAATTAACAGCACAAACACAAGTGGGAAATGGTTGTCAAAGACAGAAGTTTGTAAAAGTGATCAAAGGGGTTCACAAGCTGACAATGCTGTTGCTAAAAAGCAGAGATTCTGTTAAAATATGTGAACAGGAGTGTTGGGTACTGGTCAGATACCAGATGAGGTATTTTCAGTTTCCGATGCCTATCGTATTTCATCTTTCTCATTTGTCTTCCCAGCCCTGCCCTGCCCCCGTTCTCAATTACAAGACAGCAGAGATGTGATGAATACATAGGTTAAATCTGCAGGATTTTTGTGTGAATTAATTTTTTTCCCCCTCTTTAGCTTCTGTTGACACCCATAACAAAATTTCAGTTAGGCCTCTTCAGTGAAATGGTTTACCAAGTGTTACCTTATTTTCTAGATGTTTTTGCAAGCTGAGTCCTTGGTAGTAGATGTTGGTTCATGCACTCAAATTCATGAAGTTATTTTGAGTATCTGAAATTAAAACTATAAACCTATTTATTCCATAATTTTGACAAATGTTTTATTTTATTGAATTATTTGCAATGTCCACAGATCAGTAAAGCTAAGAATTTGCTTTATAATATAGCCTAAATAAATCCTAGACTGTGCTATAGGTATTTATAAATGTTCTGGTTTTTATTATTGCTTTGGCTGTTAGCCTGCGTGTTTAACCCTAGATATTTATATAACTCCAGCTACTTCTATATGCAGTTTTCAAGGTTCCTTAGTTGGGCAATTTTTAACCTGTCAAATGGTGTTTTATCTGGATGCATTTTTGTCATCAAGACAAAAACATCCAGTTGTCCCAATGGGGGAAAAAAACCCCAAGACCCCAACAAAACCAAGCAACCAAATCTTGCTGTATTTTGAAACTCTTGCAATTAAAATCCCTTGGCAGTTCTCCAAGACAGTAATATTCAGTAGCTGTGTTGTGTCCTGTAGCATACCTTTGCTCCCTGATTTTCTGGCTTCTGCTTCTGGAGGCTTTTTTTTTTCTCCCCTCCTTTATTTTCTCTGCTCTCACAGTGGAACAGTCAGGATTCAGTGCTATTGCACTGGGAGATATGTTTCATTACAAGCAAAACAGCTGAGTGTGGTAGAGACTAAATTTTGGCAATGAATGAGAATACTGACAAGGCCAGTTACTGCATTTTGAGTCACGAGTGTGAAAATTGGTTGCCAGCTGTGGTGTGGTAACTTTGGAAATAGCTTACTTGCAGGAACGTTCAGTTAATTTCTTTCTTGTACTTTCGCTCAAGTGTAGGAAAAAGAAAGATTGCATGAATGTACAAAACATAGCTTTGGTAGTAGCCTTTTGTGTGCTTTGATAGTCTATTCGCTATGGTCAGACCCTCAATCAAGGTTTTTGTAAGTAAACTGTGATATTTTGGTGAATTTGTTTCAGTAATTTCATCCTGAGATGATTGAAGTTTTACTAATTTCTGTCTCTTCTAGTGATTTTAACTGAAATGTTTGCACTAATTAATGGTAAAATCATATGTACGGGGAAATACTGAAGAGTTATTTACCGTACTTCCCAATCCCAACATTTCATGTAGAATTGTCAAAGCTGCCTAGTTTGAAACAGTATTGCTACCATGTTTATCCTCTGACATTACTATGTGCTCAGGTAAAATGAGCTATAATTCTCCGTCACAAAATATTGTTTTTAAGTACTTTGTGCTCACTTTGCAATACCTTATTTTTATAAACCTTAGGGCTTCCAAATTATTGCAGCTTAAGTCACTATGCCTCAGCTGAAATGTAGCATGTGCCAAACCCTGGATAAATGAGAAGTGATGTTTACTTATCCAACAGTGAAAGTGAAAGAAACTAAACCCAGTTAAACTGCTTCGTATGTCACATAGTCTTAGTTTACCTGTGAACAGCTTTACCATGGCTCAACTGACGTGCAAAACTTGCTTGTCATGCATGGTAACTTGGTTACAAACCTGAACCTTTGCTCTGAATACCATTAGAATTACTTGTCATGAGTACAATTGCATGTAGTGATATCTTCTTGGAGAAGCAAATGCTTTAGTTTGAGTTGATTTTTTTTTTTTTTTTTGGTGTGGCTTGTACAATGGAACTTTCTCTGATGTTAAAATGGTCTGTGCAAGGTCGGCTTTATCAGGGAATGAATTTAGAGTAGAATTGAACCCAATACTATAAGAAAAAGGTCACATTGTTGTTACCTACAAGGACTATGTAGACTAGTTAAAGTTACTAGACTAGTTATAAACTCCTGCTGGGAAAGCTTTATTTGAATTTTTTCTTTGTACAATGGAACTTTCTCTGATGTTAAAATGGTCTGTGCAAGGTCGGCTTTATCAGGGAATGAATTTAGAGTAGAATTGAACCCAATACTATAAGAAAAAGGTCACATTGTTGTTACCTACAAGGACTATGTAGACTAGTTAAAGTTACTAGACTAGTTATAAACTCCTGCTGGGAAAGCTTTATTTGAATTTTTTCTTTCCTTTTCTAATGTTTCTATAAATCTATATGTATTGTAAGGCTTAAAAGCAGAACCACCAGCTCTGAAAAAACATCTTTCTGCATGTAGTATTTCTCTGGAGGGGCTGATGGTGGCACATCTCAGATGTACAGAATTCTACTGGAAAGTGATAATGGACTATAGCAATGAATAAATTAAGTCATTAAAAATTACAGTGTTTTGTGAGTACTACGAAGTGGATGGATTAGTTACCTGATCAGCTCTTCCACAGCAGTTCAGCAACTAGAGACAACTGTTCTAATGAAGCCATTTTTGAGATTAGGGTCCAGTTTCTCAAAATTGGTGGTACTTTGAACAGTAGTCTAATGCCATCAGCACTATGTAACCGCAAGAGTATTTCTTGCGGTTGGAGCTCCTGTCTCCCCATATATTTCGCCATTTCTAACTTGGCATCCCCAAAAGGAAAGCATTATTGGGTCAATCAAATCTTCATTTGCACTCTTAAGTTGTATTCCTTTCCGGGCCTATAATCTGCTTCTGGTCTCCTGAATCTCATTTATACCCCTGCTCAGCTGTATCAGGTGTCTGTTCCATGTGCATGTGTTAACGCTATACAGTTAATTCAAAGGTAACCATTGCAGGTGCCCCATCCTTCTTGTATAATTTGCAGAAGACATTGCTTCAGACTCTGTCCATGTTTTTAAGTTATGTATTTCCTGGTCTCTTCCAATGTTCCTTTGTTATGGCAAGTGTCTAATGTCAAGTATGTTGTAAAAACAGATCTTGCAATTCAAATTTTCAGTGTTTACAGAGTACTGAATTTATTCTTAAGACATTTTTAAATAAGGTTTACTGAAGCGCTTCCTGTCAAGTTTTACAAGCCTATAAATATAACTTGTAAATGTGAGATCTTTTGAGGGCTAAAAATTCGCTCTCAATTTAATGTTTCTGGATTTCGACAAACATAGGAAGCAGATGGCTGAGGAAAAAGAAGCAAACTTTTAATTTCAAAATGGGTCCTTGCAAAATGTGACAGTGATTTCCAGCATTTTTACTTTGAGGAATCTTAGGTTCTTCCATGAACACGCAAGCTCTATGATAAAATCTCCGGTGTTATTTTGTAATATGAATGAACAGTGTGTTCTTCATCGTCTTTCATGGGTATTGGGTATTTGAGGTGTAGGTTGTGGGTATCTCCCACAGCAAAGTGTTGAAGAACCACAGGTCAGGGACCACTGACTCAGACTTGGGGATGTTTAGCGTGCACCACTACTGCTTTGTTTATTGTAGTTTTACTTATTGGCTTCTTTGCTTTTAGGAGCTGTAGCACTGAAGAATCTTGAAATAAAAGAAAATGCACTGGTAAGTTAGTGAAAATGAAAATAAAAACTGTTGCAAAAACAATTTTTTAAAAACATTTTGGGTTGTATATGTCTTTTTTTGGTTCTTATTTTAGGATGCACTATCTTTTAATTCAAAATTTACTGTTTTGTTTTCTGTGCACTTGTGTGAGTTGTCTAAATAATTTGAGATTAAATTTAAAGGTGAAGGTGTATGCTGGCTTTGTTTAGCTTTTTTCTTTATTTTTTTTCCAAAACCAATTTAGCAATTGCTAAAATAAGGTGTTTTGATCAAAAGCTATACTGAAATAACTTTTTTTCTATAGTTTATGAAGCTCAAAACTTGCTCTGGAGTAGGTATTTAGCGTAGCATGGCTTGACAGTCTAAGTCAGTCTAATCAGTAACCAAACACTTGCTTGTTCCATTGTATTGAGTGGGTTTTTTTCAGTGGTTGAAAGGTAAATTTGTTATTAAGCTTATTGCTGTCCTTTTTTTCCTATATGGGAACATTTTACAAGTTGCTGAAATGAGCTTAAATGTTGTAAACAACTTTATTTCAGAGTCAGCTGGATGTGCCATTTAAAGTTAAGGCAGGACATATTGGTAAGTTACACTTTATAATACACCCATGCAGGAGTTACTAAACATACTGCTTTTCCTTGCAAGTGGCTCTAGGCATCCTAAGCAAGTAATTTTCCTTGTTTCCTTGATTTGCATGCTTTGTAAACTCTGAAGTTTGTCTCTTCTGAAAAAAAACTGCTTGAAGAAGCCCCTTTTCTTGAGCTGAGGTGGTGAAGTTAAAATATACTGGAGTCTTGTTTAATCACTTCAATATTAATGAGAAAAGAATGCAACACAGCAAAGATGAGCAACTGAACAGGACTGGATCTCATCCCTTGTCTTAGCAGGACTCTACATCTGATTTTACCTTCCACTTCCCTTTCTGTCCTCCTTACTTGTTTTTGCTAATGTGAAAAGTTTTCTCACTTCAAGTTGATCGTCTTGTAAAAGTTTTTTTCTTAAAGCAAACCAAATCTAAAACCACTATGTCTCCCTTAATTCTTCCCTGGAAGTATATATATTTTCCTGTGACTGATTTCATAGTACAGTAAAATTGGCACTTGTGTGAAGAATGAGAGATGCTGTAACCTCAGGGTCCCCATGTTCACAACATGTGTACACTGCTTTAAGGCTCTCTTCCACAGAAACAGAAAGAAAAAGATGTATTATAAAAACTCTGGTTTTGGGAGTATTTAGCTGATTTATGTGAGCTGACCATGCTTTTCTTGTTCATGAGGGTGCTGCCATGGATTTGCAAAGGAGGGAGAGGCTGCCATTAGGAAGAAGGAATCTAATTCAAGGGAGTAAGGAGAGGACCTTGAGAATTAGCAGCTCTGCTCATGGAAGAAATTGCCTTGTATTCTTTGTGTGCTGTATAAAACAGACAACCCAAAGGACATGTGCCTCAGATGCACTGTTTTTCCTGTCCAATATAATAATTTTTCAGGTGTTTTGTGGTTAGTGTCGATCACCTTTCTAATATTTTTTTTCCAGTCAACTGTTTAACTCTATACCTCAACGTTTTTCTTTTGTGTTTGTAGGTCAACTTAACCTGCAGATTCCCTGGCAAAACCTTTATACTCAGCCTGTTGAGGCAGTTCTTGATGGAGTTTATTTGCTTATTGTGCCCACAGCCAGTAAGTTAATCTAGAGAAAATGTGAATATAGATTGGCAGGATTAGAGAAGTATCTGGAATGGGTTGATACTGTTTTCATGAACTTCATTTCTAGTAGATATTTCTACAAAATACAGTTAGATAATGGGAATGGGGTGTCTTTCAGTAGTTTATATTTAGTCACCTTGGTTTTTTTGCTGTTATATAACTATTAACAAAATGTAGAAGTTATTGCTTTTGAAACAGCATCTTCCAAAAATGTGTAAGGTTTTTTGTGTCATAACTTTTTACATTGTGTATTTAGCCATAAAATATGATGCTGAGAAAGAAGCCAGGCAGCTCTTGGAAGCAAGGCAAAGGGAATTGCAAAGAATAGAGGAAGCAAAGCAGAAAATAGCTGACCAAGGTAAGAGTGGGAGAAGTTAATGAAAGTGGCACTATTTCTTTATTTTAATCCAGAATTTGTCACTTAGTGTTTTAGATTCTTGTTTTCATTTGATACTGAAAAACCTCCTAGTTAGAGATTTTTAGGTGTAGCTGCCATCAATATTGCAGAACTAGCATTCTGAAGATAAAAAGGTTCAAACAGGGACGTGATCTGATATAAATAAGGCTTTTGAAATATTGCTTGCTTATGTAATATGTTGCCTGATGCTTTCTTTCCTTTTCTTTCATAAGAAACTATTTAGCTTTGTAACAAAGACTTTCTGTCGTTACATCTTTTTAAAGATTCTGTTTAATTTTGTTCTTGGATACATGATAAGTCTTCTAATTTTAAATTCAACTTTAGGTACTTTCATGAAATAGTATATTGGCCACCTTGAGTGTCAGTGGGTACAAGTCATACTTTTGAACAACCTGATTCTTCATGCAGCAGATAATAAAGCTGAAACTGTCTAGTTTGAGGATATAAATGTTATAGTTTACACTGAAAGAGCATGTTTTTATACAACTAGAGTACAATGTAATAGAAAATTTAAATATCTGTCACACAAACTTTATTTTATTACTGTTTTGTCTAGTGATTTTAAAAATACTTTAATGCAAACAAAATACTAAATTCTTTTACTTTAACTTAGATAAAGTAAAAGAAGAGAAGCAAGACACTTTTGTAGAAAAACTAGTCACTCAGGTCATCAAAAATCTTCAGGTGAAAATTTCCAACATCCATATTCGCTATGAAGATGATGTAAGTACTTTTGTATATCATGTCGTAAGAGGTTATGCACTTTAACATGAAATTAGGAACCTGTCTGATTTCTTTTCTCCCCGTTGCTTTCCACACTGAGAGAACCCTAATAAAATTTTGGAAATTTCATAATCTTAAAAAAAACCTCAAAAAAACAACAAAAAAAACAACTGATAAAAAGCTTGTACCAAAGCAGATAGATATTTGTAAGCATGTGGTTGGGTACAGAGAAGATACAGTTGTCAGATCTTTGTTATATATTTTTTTTAATTCTTGGCTATTTACTTCCAAATCTGAATTTAGAGCATTAAATAATAATTTTTTGGTATTTTCCTTCTGCTGTATTAGGTCACAAATCGGGATAACCCCTTGTCATTTGGGATTTCACTTCACAATCTAAGTTTGCAGGTAATTTTATTTTCATCAAAAAGGCATGTTGATGTATACTGGTAGATTAAGTTACATTTTTATGTATTTTTGTGCTGTCTGGTAACATACTGTCTAATGAAAGTATACCTATGATCAGGAGAAATGCACAATGTCAATTACTTTGTTTATCAAATCCAGCATAAATACTGTGGCAGGGGTGCCATTAAAGATAAAAACAGACCTTTGGGAAGAAATTATTCTCTTCTGCGTGTTGCACTTTGTGGCTGCCAAGTACCAGACTTTGATGCATTTGAGCTATTCAGAATGATTAATATTTTACTGAAGTTGTCGTGAACCCCAAGAATGGAAGTTACTGCTTGATACTGGGGAGGGGAAATAAAGGAAAAAAAAAAAAAAAAAAGAGGATGGTATCTTCTTTCAAACTGCACCTCACTTCTTTGATCTGCAAGCTCCACTTTAAAGTGCTAATAGTAGTCATCATAGACTGTATACTTTTTTTTTTTCTGGAAGACTACCTAGTAGCAGCAATATGCTGATTCTGCTGAGTTGCTTTGATTCAGTAGCTTTTGCTGTGTGAATGATCATCTTAAATATATTTAAGTAAGTGTTACTTTCTTGAATGAAATAGTTGTCTTATGAAAGTTTTTTCCTAACACGTTGAGAGATTTATGCCAGCCCCTTCCCCTAAACAGTTTTATGTAATGAGCAAAAACTTGGGTATTCTTACTACTTCACTCTTGAAATGCGTATTAGCCTTGAAAAAGTATAATAGCATATAGTGTTTCTGTTGGGCTAAAACTAAGGTGTTTTTTCCAGAATTATAAAATAATTCTAGTCCCTTGTTTATCTCTTTCCAAAGAGCCTGCCTAAAAATAATATTGGTGTAAAGGAAAGAGTTTGCTATACTGAAAAGAGAATTGTAAACAATCCTTTGGTTCTTTTGTGCAGCTTACCGGTCACTGCACGTACACGTGTATTTTTTGAGGGGAAGTACCCTTATCAAGTTGTCACTTGAAATAATGGCTAAATCATCTTAAATGAGAAGATGGCATCCCTTTATTTTCAGTGGGGTTTAATTATGATGATGTTCCTGTCTTTTTTTCCTGGTTTGTTTCATGGATGATAAAATGTTGGTGTATTATAGATATTGGAATAACTTTCTTTAATTTTCATTTCAGACCTCAGATAAGAATTGGAACCCATGTTTACATGATGAAACTGCCAAGTTGTTCTACAAGGTACAGTATAAACTGTATGTTAAAGAAAGAATTGGTAATAAAACAAGCTGAATTAGAGTTCCTTCCACGGAAAGTAAGATTAAGAAAACATGTAACTGTATAGGCTCTCAAATAAAAAGATGCATAGTCTGCTAGGAACATTCAGAATATTTTTATTCTTCTAGACTTTGTGAAATCCAAATTATTTCTCTAAAGTTTTTTTGTATTAATATATCTGTTCTGTTGTATTTTCAGCTTGTACGACTGGATAACCTTTTTGCTTACTGGAATGTGAAATCAGAGATGTTCTACCATGGTGGTTGTGATGAATCATTGGTAAGTAAAGCATGAGATAATGTATCCAGTATTCTAGTTTGTACTCCAAAGCATAGAGCATGGCATGCTCCATATTCAGTTCAGCCTCAGTTTGTGTCAATGTCTTGTGGAGTTGCCTCCTTATCAATAACTTTTTTAGGAAAAATAGTAAGTGTTAAGGTTTTATGTGATGGAAATAGAACACCCATCTGAGGAAGTCAAAAAAAAGGAGACCTTTGCCAGTTATAAAATTATGCACAATATATGGTTGTCTTACTGTTCAGTGATTTTATTATTAGCTAAAAATAGAAGTCTTATTCTGTTTAAAACATATATGAATATTTTAAGTTGTACTGTGTATAAGGGGAGTTATCTGAAATGTGTATTAAAATGATAATATTTTATATTTTAAAACTGTATAATGAAATAAAAATGCAATGTATTTTTAACTCCATTATTTGTGTAGGTTAACTTAAAACTGGGAGTTGCCAGCCACAACGTGATTCCAGAAGGTTATGACTGTGGTAAGTGGTATTTTATTTGTATTTGTAATATGCATGTATGCTTCACTTTTAATTTTTAATGCCTCTCAGAGGTTGCTACTTCAGCTGTTACTCAAAAATCTTAGTTTAGTTCTTTTGTAGGAATAACTGTCTCTGTGGCAGTGAATACTGTAGCATATCTGTAGCTTTAAAAATGCTTTGATTAAAATATGAATCTTGAGTCATGCATCATTCTAGTAGAATGTCATACATAAATCCTCATTGTTCACATCCATTGATAATTCTTGATTGTAAGAAGTTTAGCAATAATATGTACATCATGTAAGTTTTGTGAATCAGATTGGTTTGAGTAGTAGATGAATGCTTTTGAGGTCACCTTTTATTTGATGAAAAAACAATTTACACATATTCAAGTAATATAGAAATTCTTATTGTTGGATCAATTGCTGAAACAGATAGAAAAATTAAACTAAACATGGCTTTTGAAAGCTATATTGAATGCCTAATATTGTCAAATTATGGAACAGATAAGACATTTCTGCTCTGAGTATTTTTCATGTGATGTGCTTCACTTTCTATAGGATCCATATTGACTTTTTTGCATGCTTACTTGGGCTTGGCTTTAGAAATGTGGATTGTTTGGTTTTATCCATTGCTGTGAGCATAATTTATCAAAGAGTGTAAAACATCAGCAACATTAAAAAAAACAATCCTTATGGAATAAGAGTTGTAGTGAAACAAGTGCGATGTTTTAATCTGTCTTGTACTATAAATAGCTTATATCATAGCAAAAAAATTTAAATTTGTTGCACACATAAACACTTACTGAAACATCTGCCGTGTAATACTGCATACAGGAAGATTTGTGAGAATGTTCCACAAATGTTGCCATAATTAAACTGGAAATTGAGTACAGATTGTATTATATTTTAAACTGTGTTGATTAAGTTTTCTGTGTTGAAGTCTAGCATTTTAATATTAATAATCTGGCATAACTTGAGCTGATAAGTACTATGTATCATTTGTGGCAGTTTAAAATAATTTAATTGCACTTTTTATATAAACTTCTGTTTTTTAGTATTCCGCCCAATTTCAGCTAGAGCCAAACTTCTTATGAATCCTCGATCTGATGTTGACTTTTCATCACCAAAAATGGATTTAGATGTAAATTTACAGGATATAACTGTTGAATTCAATAAGCCACAGGTATGAACTGTTTTGCTGAAGTTATAGGTAATGTGTTAAAAAAGTTAGTTTGCAAGAATAATAAGGAAAGTAATCTGAAATTTTATCATAAACACACAGAATCAATCCACTTCTTAGTCTTGTTTTTCTTCATAGATTATTTTCTTTCTAAAGAAAGGATTGATTCACATTCTCAGAAAGACAGTAGCAGTGTGAATTTTTTGTTGTTTTTTTTGTCTTTTTTATTTTTAGTACTTCAGTGTTATGGAGCTTCTTGAGTCTATTGATATGATGACTCGAAATCTGCCATATAGGAAGTACAGACCTGATGTTCCATTGCACAACAATGCCAAGACATGGTAGGCTACCTCAGACTTTGAAAATAACATGTTAATTATTAATTTGAAATAATTACAAAAGGTTTGTTTCTTACTTAAGGAGGTTAGAACTCATCTCCTTCTTCTCTTTTGTTTTTGTTAAGCTAGGAGTATTTAAAAAAAAAAAGGTGAGGACCTCAAACCAAAGGTGGACATATTATTTGAAAGCATTAATTTGCTGTCTCAAGACCATTATCAGAAACTTAAGTCTGATAATATTTTAATATCCTAACATATTTTGAGGAAGGAGACCCCATTATATGTTGGGTACTGTTACTATTACAAGAACATAGCTGTTTGTGAAAATAGGCCAACCTTTTCAACACAGGTGGCAGAGATTTGATTTTTTTTTCAGAAGTTTCCTAACAAATATGTTTTGATTATTCACACACATGTACACACATACGTACATATATATTTGTGGGTACTTTTTCTACAAGGTTACTTTTTAATTTTAGGAAATGGCAACGTGTCAACTTTATGTGGGGAAAAAAATAAAATCCTTAGGTTCCTCAACTGATCAGAAGTGTGATATTAGATAAGAGATTTCACTCTTTCATGGCTTGAACTTGTCTGCATAGCTCTAGGTGTCTTTTCAATATACCAAAAGAAATGTAAACTATACTTCATTTATCTTTGCTTTTAGGTGGAGATATGTTATTTATGGCATCCTTGAAGTAAATGTTCAACCTAAGCTTCAGGCGTGGTCATGGGAACATATTCGATACCATAGGAAACAAGTGAAGAACTACAGAGAGATGTATAAAACAAAGATAACATCAAAAAAACCTAATGAAGAAATATTGAAATTGTTGGAGGTTAGCCATTTTCCATTAGAGGCTTAAATGTTTACATGTTCCTAAGTTAAAATAAAATTTTCAGTGGCCAGACTTGCAACTTAATCAGTACCTTTCTCTGTAAGTAGTATTAGTAAACGTCTTAGGTAATTTTTAAAATTAGTAACTGGAGTGAAGAAAAACTTAATGTGCTTTTCTTTTCCAAGTTTATTTTAAGTTTTCAGCTTGAGCAAATTAACTTGGGTTGCACTGAAAGAGCTGTTTACTGTCACTTCCTGTAAAACTGAACCATGAAATATAGCCAAATGAAATTGTCAAAAAATTAATTTCTCACTTCCTTTCTAGGAATTCGAAAAGGCCTTGGATATTTTTAACATCACTCTAGCAAGGCAACAAGCAGAAGTTGAGGTAAAATTTCATAATTTAAGTGAGTCTAAGAATAACTGCAGCATGAGGTTGTGGAGATTTTAGGCAGATGGATTTTAGTTCTAGTGTTTGAATTGTGCATTATGCAGTCTTCTATCTTCCTTGAGTTCAGGTTTGTTATTATAAGGTGTAGGTAGTTTCAGCTTGTAATTAAGCAAAAATTAAATAGCGCTGTATACTGCTTCTTCAGAAGAACTGCTCTGGGATAAATTTCTTTTTACTTCGGTAACGAAGATCTGCTGTGGAAAATATGGTCAAAGGATGATAGGATAAGTCAAGTTGGAAGCAATTATATCCAAAATTTGTTTTTTCTCAACAGCCTAGACTATTAATTTATTCCTTTCTTTCCTGATACCCTATATGTAGGCTGAACACCTATATATGTAGTATGTTGACTTTTTGTTACTATTTGCAGATTTTACTTGGGACACAGCAAATCGAGAATACATTTAAGTAATCACAATCAGGCAAGATAATGTGACTTGAGTAGTTACACTTAATTTGTTGGCCTTGTTTTTCCTAGGTTAGTGTACTGCTTAGTTATCATTGTAGTGTCTTAGCATCATTCTGGGAGACCGAAGTGAAATCTGTATAGGTTTTCTGACATCTGTGAAGGGATCTTTCTCCATTAATAATCATTGTGACTAAAAGTAAGCGGAATATGAAGTTTAGAAACTGAAATAATGTATTGATAATTGAACTTCTGGAATGTCAATCATTTCTTATGGCAGTGCTTCAAAGAATTTTTTTTTTCGTGGTGTACATTAAGTATATGTACTTAGTAAGTAAGCAATTGCTGCAGTGGTAGATAATGGTGCTCCTAAACCAAAGCTCTAAACAGGAATCTGTAAATGTGATTTTTTTATTCTAGTTGTCTGTATGTACACCCACGTTTGGATGCTTGTATGATCATTATTCAGACTTCTACAGAACCACACATTCATTTCCATCCTCTTCAGTTGTTTGGCTGAATTGGAGTGCTTTTCATGAGAAGGTTTTTTGTTTTGTTTTGTTCTAGTTCTCATTTCATTTTGGCATGTTTTTATCTCGTACCATTTAGTTTCTTTTGGTTTTGTCTTTTTTCCTTCTGATTTTTACAAGGTGAGGGAGCTCCCAAAGAAGTTCCTGTCTAATTTTATTTTTCTTTTCTCTGGTGTGACCATGCTGCTTACAAAAGGTTATGTCATATTGCATTCCCGAACACGTTCTAGTCCTGATTTTTAAGACAGTTTTTTGTAATGCTTTAAAGTAGGTTGCAAGCAAATTAATTTTCATTTGTTTAGGCCTTAAGCCTTGCGTTTGAAAAGTGTTAGGAAAGCATCTTGAAAGATCTGCTGGCTAACTCTCTGAATTTATTTCCAAGTATTGAAAGTCAGGTCACAGTGATTCTAAACTGTGTTTTACATCCACCCATCTGTCAGAACCCATCTGTTTTATTGTTATCAGGTCATACCTCTGAAAAAGGTCTCCAAGGACTTGCAAGAGGCAAATCTACTACTACCTTGGTATCCTAACAGTTAGCCTTAAGTATACTAGCAATTTAAAGGAGCACCCTTTAGATGTGGGCTTAATAAAGCCAGATAAAGGACCCTTCTCTTTATTAAGTTTTTTGTTTTCAAAAACCATACTTTAGAGTTGAATTTTAATGGCTTGCTTTTCTCTAGACCTTGAAATCAAGCTCTGCAGAACTCATATTGGTGAACACATCTGATTTTCTGGGAACTTTGTAGCAAGAACTTTATATTCCAAACCTCAGGGCACTTTTTTAATCTTTATCACTAGTGCCTTAGGTGCCAAACACCACCTTCAGTAAGCCAAGCATCAAGTCTCTGTATCAGATAGCTTGAGAAATACTGTGTTTTCAGTCTAGAGGACACTTCATAGATTATTTCACCTAAATCAGAATGCAGGATGACACTCTTGGTCCTCCCTTTCTTTTAGTCAAAACAGTTGATCTTGCTGAGTAATCTTTCTGCAGACTATGACTATATTCATTACTAAACCATTGTAAATGGAGGATGGGGAAAGCTCAACAGGATTTCTTCAGGAAATGTCTTTAGTTCCCATACTGCTCAAGTGTTTTCTTCATCCTTGCAGAAGTACAGTTCCTCTCCCTTCTGTCTGTAGCCTTTCTTACCTTGGACTCTGGTCCCAGCTGCTGCCTCAGACATGTTGAAAATCATAGCTTTAAGCATCCCTTCTTTCTCTCCATGGCAGTTGTCCTTCAACACTAGCTCCTTGGTGTCCTAGAAACCTATTTTCAGAGGTTTTGCAGCCCTTTTTTTGAAGGCTCTGTCCATTCTTTCATGGGACCATTTGCTCTGTAACATCTCCTTGCTGAATTGCTATCCTTTATAAAGAAGACTTGGGAGGATTTTGTTGAAACGTTTTGAGGCTGTATTGTTTAGGTGATATTTTGCATCATCCATCTGAGATGAATCAATGGTATCAGTTCAGAAGCCTTCATGGTTTTGTGATGAGTCCTGCCTTCCATTGGTCTGTAGGTGGATAGATGTGACAAGTCCCTAGAAAGTTCTGATTTATAGCCAACTGTTTTCACCAATTGTGTTGCAGAGAGATCTTGGGTTTTTTGAGTGCTGAGAAGGGATCCCTGCCTCACTTTGGGTATGACATTCACTAGAGTATCAGGCCTTATCTGCAAGTGTTTATACCTTTTCAGATTATATTAGTCATGAAGAAAAATAATTTGTGTGGTCCACCACAGCCTGAGAACTCCATCTCTTATTTTGCTTGATGGTCATTTGCCATCGTTTATGCCAAACTTTGGGTGATCAAGTCTGGATATAGTTTGCACTTTCTGTGAGGACCCAGTATTGGAATCATCACTGGCATCAGACTGGATGTCTCCTAGTTATTGGAATAATGAATGTGGGAGAAGGGAAGGCTTCCTTACTGCTATAGCTCTGTGTATAAGAGCCAGGGATAATTTTCTGTATTCCTTAGAGTAAATATTCTATTACTAGAGTAATGATATCTTAATTGCTTTGGACTTCTATCCTGAAACACATAGGGATCATTTAAAATTTGGCCTGTGCTGGCTATTTAATGGCTTAACATAATTTTTTTTTTTAATCACACCTTATAAGCGCGTTGATGTAATTTAGAGCACTGTATATATATATAATACATTATGGATTTTTTTTTTGTGTGTTAAGAGCTATAGAGAAAATCTACTGTGTAAGAAACATTTATTGACTTAAAATCAGCTACCTTTTGCTTGCTCTTTTTTGTTCATAAAGGTGGTTGATGTAATGCAAGTGAGAATTGGTCTGATGCACTGTGTACCTGAAAAAGTTATTAAAAGAAAAACTAAAAAATAACACATAGCCTTTTTGATGGTCGTCTAATGATGTTTTGATGTGTTAGAGCATGTCTTAGGTCTATATTTCTCTTAGGAAAATGAAGAAAGAAGCATGAGTAAGATTACTTGTTTGTGTTTTTTAAATTTCAGGCAACTAAAGCTGGATTAAAAATATACAGGCCAGGAGTGAAACAAGATGATGAAAATTCTGGTGGCTGGTTTAGCTGGATATGGAACTGGTCAAGTGAAAAAAAGGATGAACAAATACAAGAAGTAAAAGGTTCAAGTATGTTCATTTATTGATATTTTTTTTTCTGTTATTAAAAATTACTTACTAGAATAAAAGGTCCTTAAAAATGGAACTTTGGTTTTGTTTAATATTTGAGCTATTGGATTGTTGATGTTTTCATTTTCTCTTAGCCTTTTTTGCTGATAAAGTTGGTAATTGGGTGTAACGGAGGTATCTTACAATTCCTTCTACAGGTCTTTCTGAACTGTTTTCAATTTGTGCTTTCTCTAGCCACGGTTTTCGCCTTTGTCTACATGGTACACCATGCTAGAAATGTCCAGATGGTACACAATGCTAGAAAACAGTAGCTGTTAATGGAGTGCAGACAATTTTACTTCTGTTCATTTTATAATTTGGCAATTTAATACAGTGTATTAGAGTTGGATTCACTTAAGTACAGGGTACCTAGTAAAGGTTGTGGAACATGAACGAAAATCAAAAAGGTTGCTTCTGTTGTTAGCAAGATAGGAGATAGAGTAGGTAAGAATAAAAGTATAACTGCATTTTAAAGCATGCTTTTGGAGACTCAAGACTTTGCTTTAAACCTCAGGATTTTTGCTTTTACTAATTAAGGACAATGTGGATAGTATCTACTGTACATTATAGAGCTACCAAGCACGGGAAAATATATAACAGTATTTACATTTTTCAGATACCTATATTGATTTTAACCTCTTGCAATGTACACAGGTCTTGGAGAGCTGATGACACGTGAAGAGAAGGATAAACTTTATGCAGCAATTGGATATAGTGAAACAGCTGTGGATCCAACCCTTCCAAAATCCGTAAGTCATAACTGATACCAAACAGTTGGTAGCTTTATGTACTATAAAGATTTAAAGATTAAAGGAAATAATTTTAAAATTACTTGTAACTCTGTCTCTATACTTGAATACTTTTCTGACACTTTGTAATTAAGTTACTACATGCTGGCTTTGTGCAGAACAGAGCATCCTTAGATGTAGTTTCAGCAGAATGGTAATAGAGCTTACTTTGGGTGTAGTGAAACAGTTCAGAATAAAATTTTCATCACTCAAGATAGAATAAAATCATATAAGTAGTATATTGTTGTTTAAGTTATGAAATGCTTCATTTATTTTCTTCTGATATTAATAATCTTATTAAAAAATGCATTAAGTGATTGTTGTGGTTTTGTGTGGTGGGTTTTGTCTGGTAGCAGGGAGGGTCCACAATAATGGCTCCTGTAAGTAGCTGCTGTCTAAGAGCTCCCTGAATCCAGCTCTGCTGGCAGCAAGGGAGGGGCTGCAGTGGCAGCCCCTTTAAGTAACTGCTAAGAGTTCCCCTAGCTGCAAGCCTCCTCTGGTGACAAGGGAGGGGCTGCAGTGGTGGCCCCTGTAAGTACCTGCTAAGGGTTCACCCCCAGCCTCAAGGTTTTAGGAGCCAGGGCGGAGTGGGGGAAGGAGTACCACTGATCTAGCCCCTGTGAGAAGCTGCTGGCAGTTTCCCCAGCTTCAGGCTGGACCCACCCCAGGCCAGGGCTGAGCCAATTGGTGCCTCTGCGAATGACATATTGAAGAGGGGGCACACAACAGTGGGTTGGCATGGCCCTGGGAAGGGCCCAGCTCGGGTGGACCAGCCTGGC